AACTGAAGCATCCAGCAGCTTAGGTATAACTTGTCGAGTACCAAAGTATACTTTTTAATCACTATCTTCAAAATATGTAACTTCTTTAGAATAAAGCAGAGAATATCAACCAAATAACGCAACAATTTTAATATATACTGCAAGGTGTAATCTGATTTCAAGAAGAAGGGATTCAATTTTAGAAACCAACATTTTAGAAGGTCGTTGAAGCTGCAACTGATGTAAGAGTGAATTACTTTGAGCAGTTTGGGACCTGCTAATCCTTGTTGCAGAGCACTACTGCTAAAATGAATAGGGCATCATGCTGATGGTTTCTGATGAATTCTATAGAAAAGAACAGACAGTGGATTCGTATCAGGTTCAGATCCAGTATATCATACTATAAGCAGGGAATATACCTCACATTGATCAGAATTTGTTCCCAAACCCAATTGCCCAAATTGATGTCCACCAAAAGCATAGACACGACCATCTGTGCAGATGCATATAGTATGCCACAGTCCAGCTGCAACCGCTTCAATCTGAGTCCCCGATAGAGAAGTCACACAAGTTGGTCTCAGCATGTCCTCTCTATTTCCTTGTCCACACTGCATATAATAGTGTCATACGATTGATGTTCGTGGTCTGTCTTCAATTATTAGAAAACCCAACATCCATGGACAAATTTGAGCACACACTCAAAACCAACCTGATTTCCACCCTGACCATTGGTAATAAAACAGCCAATTAGCCGTAACCTATCTTAATGACTTCAAGTTCTTATTGGTTGAATTGGACATTTGTCAAGGTACAATTTTACACATTTCCTAAGAAGGAAGCAAAGCTATTTGGGTCGAGCTGAGCATCTAGGCATCTATAATCACTCTTTTTTGTGCGACTGGGAACTTAGGTCATAACGTCCACCTCACAATGGTCCGAGCTCGTTCATATCTTGACGAGGCATGAGCTCGAACATCTACGACTTACGAGCTCGAGTGCCCGTTCGTTGCTTGAGGCATGTGCTTTATCAAGATAAGACGGGTTAATTTTCTCTCACCTTAAAGGCACGAACTCGGACAATAAAATATTTTAACCACACATTTCGCGTTGAAAGAAATATAATATTTTCAGTGTGAGTTAAGAAATCCACAACTCGAAAATTGGAAACCATGGGAAAGTAAAATCGTTCCACTGAAAGCCAAATCCAAAACCCAGCCACTATTCGATTTAGCTTAAAACTTAGATTAAAATCTAAATCTAAATCAACAATTAATTTTAACCACATATTTCTCGTCACCCACAATTTTTCAACCACATATTCAATCCACTTCATCAAAATCTACTAAAAATTCGATTTTTATGGGCTTTATTTTCAAGGGAAAAATATCAAAATTCAAGTGGAATCAAACAGTAATTTCCCTGAAATGTCAATAAAATGTTTATCCAAGTAAACATTGCATCCGCAGCACAGTTTATTCCGAGATTTGTACAATTTATCTCTTCGATCATGACTAGGGCATATATACATGCACAAAATAAAACAAAATCATTAACAATAAATCCAAAGATCTGATAAACGGGGAGTGGGTAAAATAAAGATGCAAGCAGCAAACTTCAAGGAAAAATATCAGTGGAACACTAGCAGATAAAACAAAACCCACAAAAGCAATTTCACATAATTCAAAATAAACGTTCAAAACAAGATTATCAATCAATTCATGAGACAATTTCTTCTTTTCCTTTTCCTTCTAGAGAGGAGCAGGAACAAAATACCAGTTGCGTATAAATTAAAATTTCCCAAGAACATATAATAAGATAGAATTCAACAAAAAACTTGAGAAATTAATATCTGCAAAATTAGTTCATTCATTCAGAAAGATTGCAGTAGGATTTCCTGGGGACGGGGGATTAGACTTCAGAAGAGTGGCATGATTCCCAGCTTTCTCGATGGCATCGGCATCTGTAGCAGACAAAACTTCTAAACGATCAAGTCCCAACTGTCTCTTGATCAGTTCCAAGTTCTCCTTCAGAACCTCAATTTCACCAAAGGGCAGCTTCAGATCCAATGCTTGAACCCCGACAGCCATAACCTCATCTTTCTTGAACCTCAAGAAAGGCATACATAGCTTCTGTGTTTGTTTGAAATTGCCTTCCTGTCCAAGTGCACTTTTCTGCAATTCGGAAAGGATATCTTGATCCGGTGCAAAGGATCGTGTTGAAGTGTTAAACTTCTTCTGAAGTATGTTCAAGCATTCCTTTTTCCATCCATCATACTGCTCATTCACAAATATCAGACCAACAGTCGGCTTATTTTGGCTATTAGGTATACTTACATTACCTTTTTTTGAACCTGTAATCTGTTTCTGCAAAAGCTTCCTCATAGATACAATTGAATCTTGCAAGTATTTGTTGGCCTTTTTGAGAGTGAGATCTGGTAAATCAGCTTGTGGCCACCCAGCTTTTATGACGTATCCATCCTTCTTCAACAGCTCCTTCCAGACATATTCAGCATAATGCGGACAGATTGGAGCAATTAGACGTGTCTGAATATCCATAAACTGCCACAATAAATCACGGTTCATGCCCCCTGATCCGCAAGAAAGTCTATACTCATCCCTTGCAGCCTGAAGATCATAGAAACCTGTTTTCAGAGCTTCCCGAAACAAGTACTCACTATAGTTCTTCTCGGTCAACTTGACTGCTATATTCATTTCATTTGCAAACACGTAATCTGCATAAGTGGAAGGGGGACCACTTCTCAAAGATGACTCGGCTTCAAAAAGCTCTTCCATCCACACAATCTCTTTCGTCAGACGTAAGATTGCAGCATTTGCTGTCTCGAAGACAAAGTTGGCATCATCCATACCATCACCTGCATCTGCGAGAGAGAATCTCGTAGCATCAGCTGAAAATTCCTCAATAGCTTGGCGAACCGTCCTGAAGTTCCCTGTGGACTTTGACATTTTCTCAGAGTTCAGCATTATGTGTCCATTGGACCTGAATCCCCGAGGCCAGTGGTGCTTGGGCATGATTGCTACGTGATTATATATGCAAAAGGTAAGATGATTCTGAATGAGATCCTTGCCTGAAACTCTCAGATCAAATGGATACCAATACTCAAACTCTTTCTTCATCTCACTGAGCTGAGAAGAAGTTATATCTGACGATTCAGGATATGGCCCACCAACAAATAAGAAATCCCAAACCTCATCTGTTAGCTGCTCTGGTTTTACTAAAGATTTATCAGTACCATACATATCACCTCTCTGCAACAGATGGGCTACGGTGTAATATGCCATGTAAAGAGTTGAATCAGACAAAGACTCAACTAAAAAGTCCTCATCCCAGGGAATACGAGTTCCAAGCCCAAAACTACGTGAGCATGCCCACTGATTCAGCCAGCTTAAGGTGTGCTCAAAGCCATGTCGTGCCTCATCTGAGTAGAGATTCATGTAAGCTAAACATTCTTCTGCTGATTTCTTCCATTCTGGTTCTCCATAAGTGATGTACCATTGATCAGTCAAAGCCACAACACACTCATCCCCAGATCTAGACATGACCTTCTTTTCGGGTTCACTGTAGACAACGGCTTGACCGAGCTCTAAAAGCTTGCTCCTGATTAAACTTTTGGCTTCTTGGACTTTCATTCCTGCAAATTCCCCAACAAGCATGGTTCCCTCGTAGAATCCTCCCTTGTAGATTATTTTCTTGGCTTCATCAAGTTTTTCCCTCTCATTCTGGCTTTTGATTTTTTTCTCAATGCATATTCTCTCTGCAGACTTATCTCCAAAATCTGGGTGGTGAATGATAGGTATAATCTCAAATGGCACAACCCACTCGTCCTTCACGCCAAACTTGGCTCTGAATGCTGGCTTTGATTTCAAATCATGGAGGGCCATGTAATCGTCGGGAGAATCACTAGGAACACTCGTAACAATCCCAGTACCCTTGTCAGTGAGAACCGATAACATGGGCAGAGTATATATGATCTCATTAAATGCTAAAGGAGATCTAAGAGGCAAACCAATAAGATCGTGACCAGTTAACTCGACCAAACAAGTTGGTTTCTCTGGAAAGCGTGACAGTTTTTGATAAGCCAAATTCAGAGCTGCCCTCTTTGTTAAGATAAACACATCTGTATCGTTAATTTCAAAAGCCCCATATTTCCCATCTGGCAATGCCCAACAATTTGTTTGCCCATACATGGTCTCTGGTCTCAATGTAGCAGCAGCAAGATATACCTTCTTGCCCTCCAAAACACTCATCTTTGGTGGAAAAGGTGAGACGACCTCCATCTTTATGAGTGTATACTCCTGTGGAATAACACCTTCCCCTGAAGACCGGTCATGATCAGCACAAGGCTGCCCATCCAAAGGTGAATATACGGTATATCTTAAGTCCTTAACAATCTTACCCATTGATTTCAATTTCCTCATCTGCCACCGAACAAATGAATCGAAATAAGGGTTCATATCAGTTGTGATAAAAGTTCGCCTCCAATCACATCCCAAACCAAAAGCCTTCAAATCCTCCACAGCCAGAGGCGGGAAAAAGGTCAGCCAGTGGTATGGATCTTTGAACTTCTCAATCTCGTCATCAGACAAACCATAACTCTGCATAATCTCCCATTGGTACTTGATGCCACCAGATTTGGCAACAACCTTCGATTTCTTACCCTTAAACTTACCACCAGGTTGAGTCTGATTCCCAGCACTCTCGCCCTCTGGCTTCTCCTCTTGCTCAGAACCTTCCTCTTTTACAACAGGAAACACAGGTGGGTATCCAAACATCTCAATCTCCCTCTTAAGCTTATCGGCTGAGGCCTTAATGGGCATCCCAGTACAATGAAAAGCAAAAGGCAAGAGCACATTTGCACCCCTCAATCTATGATATGCTGCAGCAAATTCAAGTTTCGAGAGAGAAAAAGCATGGCCCAAGTGCAGATAACCATTCATATAGGGAAACGGAAAGTTCCCAAAGAACTTATCGCCTGGTTTGGGCGGCAAGTCCTTGGCTTCAGCCTTGAAAACATTACCCTCTTCCCACCACTTCTGGACTTGTGACTCAATTTCCAAAAGACGATCCCTGCGTGCAAAGCTTTTCCCGCTTTCTTCTGCCATTTCGTTACAAGCAAGGCCACAGAAACTATACAAAAAAGAACAAACAGTACCAATCACAATATTAGATACCCTTACAGATGCTCATTAGGTATTACATCAAAAAATAAAACCACAACACTATTATAGGATTAAATGCATTCTTCTGTAGCCCCAAAACAGTAAAGAAAATATGGAGTTAGAAAGCCGAGAAAAGTTGACGCCCGTTACATTAAAAAAGCAATTTTTTTTCCTTTGATGTCGTTCACATATTATCCTTCCATGTCAAATACCGAAAATTTACTTAATTTGCATCAAAATAACTAACTCAAATAAAATACTTGTCAATATTTAATACTCTCGTCACTAAACAGAAAATAACACGAAATTGGTTAATTTCGAAGTCTTATCACCCTATGATAGTAGTAGCAAACACAACAAATTCAGTCTCCTCCCAAATCTAATCCCATGGATCAAACAGTGTCAAA